AATTAAAAAATATAATTATAACTTATTAATAAATCAATTAATCACTATAAACATAATTTTATAATCAATTAATTTATTTCATTAACTGTAAATTATAAATAATCAATTAATTGATTTTATTAATTATAATTTGTTAATCAATTAAAGAATATATATAACTATAACTTATTAATCAATCAATTAATTTATTTTATTATTTATAAAATATTTATCAATTAAATAATATCATTATAATTTATTAATCAATTAATTTATTTAATTATTTATAATTTACTAATCAATTTATCAATTTAATTAATTTAATTAGTTATAATTAACTTATTAATTAAAAAATATAATTTACTAATCAATCAAGTAATCAATATAATCATATTTATTTATCAATCAATTAAAAAATATAATCATAATTTAATAATCAATAAATTAATCACTACAATCATATTTATTTACCAATCAATTAATCACTATAATTATAAATTTTCAATTAATTAATTATGTAACCTAATCATAATTCCCGAAATGCTCAATTAATCACAATTTACCAATTAATAATTAAATTTCTAATTATTTCTAAACTAAATTTAAAAAAATTTAAAAAAAATTATAGAACGTACTTGTAATATGGAGACTTGTGATTAAGAGAAACCAAAGAAAAATGAATGATTGGAAAGTGACAGATGCACCTACAAAATAAATAACAACAAAATTAGTTAATAAATTAAGAAAGGTAAAAAGTAGACTAATCAAGCATAGAAATTGACAGAAAAATATATTCATTCACATGCATAAAAAAAAAATTTAGAGTAAATGTAAATTATATGATAAAAAATCAAAAAATAAAATTTAACTAACCTCATCACAGAAAGTAAACAAGCAAAAAACAAATCTTGGCAATTGAGTGTGTTTGAGAGAGGATTACTACACAAAATAAAATTTTAAAAAAAAAAGATGAGGAAAAGAAAATGAAAAAAAAAAAAAGAAAAAAAAAAGAAGAAGATCCAACCAAATTATCATACCTTTCTCAGCTTAAAATTCTCAAAAAATGCCAATATTTACCACATCAAGCAACACCAGCCCTTGGTGCCGGATGCAAGCAAAAGAAGGGAGAAACTGAGAGGAGATGGTCTGATGAGAGCATGGAGAATAAATTGTGGGAGCATGGAGAATAAATTGTGGGAGAAATCCAATTTGGTATACACATTTCAGACAATGTGCATCTTCTTCTAGACAACAGGTTGATCCAAAGGGAGAACCACAGAGGCCACTTCATCGTCTTTTTCGGGGGCCTCGTAGGGTTGTTTTTACACAGCAGCAGCTACCCAACTTAAGCCAGCCTCTCACACAGTAGTAGCTTTCTAGTTTGACTCAGCTTCCCACACAGCTACAGCAGGAGCAACCTACTGTTACTCAATGAGCATTGGACGATGACCAGTACATTGGTGATGATGCAACAATGGAAGAGGACACTGAAGAGCGTAATTTGGAGGCTAAGTTGGATGCTGAGTTTGCTGTTCTTGATCCTGAGTTAGATGCTCAGCTGGAGGAGGAGCTATCACGTGTTGTCCCAAAGACAGGACGTGGCATGGATAAAGGAGATGACGCTCCTGCAGACCCAAGTCAAAGGAAGGTGCTTAGCCTTAATCGTTGAGGCACATTCAACCATGAGAGGTTTGGGAGGATTGCCACAGTAATTTGGAAGTACTTGTATGATGAGTTAGTGCTTTTTTGGTCTAGCTAGCCTAAGGAAAAGAAGAGGGTTGCTTGGGAGAATTTTCATGTATGAAAATTATAGAATAAAATGAAGTATTTTTTGAGAATTTATTTAGATGCTATCATTTTATTTTATGGCATTTGATATGGAAGTACAAGGTATATTTTATATGATTTTTTAT